AAATTTCTCAGGTTCTTCTGCGAGAGGAAAAACTTTTTTCTGATTTGTAGAGACTTCTCTCCAAAATTCTGTTAGTTTGTTCGTCAGATTGATGTTCCTTGTTTGCCTTCTAGTAAGGAGTTCAACTGAGTTCTTCGCGATCTTCATTCTTTCTTCTTTCTTGCCAATGTCCCGCCTTGTCTCCAAACGTATACTTCCGTGTTCATAGTCTTTTGGTCCAATTCTCCATGTTCTTTCGATTTGCGCTATTTTCGTGTTCTTTCTAAATATGTTACGCGCTTGTGTCTTTGTTTATGTCCGAAAAAGTTTTTTTTCACTTTTCCTCCTTTGAGCGCGGAGCCCAAATTAGTTTTTCCAACTTCGTACCTCAGTTTCATCTTCGTGCATTCATGCTTATACTCATTCGCATCATACTTTTATGCTCTTTGTGAATATGGTACGCGCTTGTAGTTCCGTTCATGCTTAGAAAAGTTTTTTTTTTCACTTTTCCTCCTTCGAACGCGGAGCCCAAATTAGTTTTTCCAATTTCGTGCCTCTGTTTCATCTTCGTGCATTCATGCTTATACTCATTCGAATCATACTNATTTCGTGCCTCTGTTTCATCTTCGTGCATTCATGCTTATACTCATTCGAATCATACTGTCATGCTCTTTGTGAATATGGTACGCGCTTGAAGTTCCGTTCATGTTTAGAAAAGTTTTTTTTTTCACTTTTCCTCCTTCGAACGCGGAGCCCAAATTAGTTTTTCCAATTCCGTGCCTCTGTTTCATCTTCGTGCATTCATGCTTATACTCTTTCGAATCATACTGTCATGCTCTTTGTGAATATGGTACACGCTCGTGGTTCTGTTAATGTTTGGGGGTTGATAGATGATAATGCCATCCAACTGAGATGGTCCAATGGGGTAGATGAGGATTGATTGGAAACATCTAAATGAAAACAGAAACACAGAGACACATAGAAATAGAAGTAGAAAGAAGAGACATATTCCAGACTGGACCAGAAGCCGCAGCAGAAGCAGCAGAAGGAGGTAAGTTTGAATCCAAAAAGCTCAAAAAGGAGAGGGGTCATGCCAATTTTTTTTTTTTATTTTTTTCAAAATTTTCTAAAACCCAACCGCCCTTTGCCAGACTCTTTTACGCACAGCACCACAGCCCTTCCGATGGAGATTTGAGCTAAGAGTCTGGCAA